GGGCTCAGTGATGCCCCAAGGGCAGTCATGCACCTGGACCCAAGGTGGTTGGTGCTCACACCAGCTCAGTGTGGCTGTCACACTCCAACAAAATCACACACAACTGCTCCAGGGCCAAAGGAACAAGAAACCCCACAGTCCCAACTCATCTTCTCCAGAAGATGGGGTAAGTGCCATGATCAGTCACTAGTCCAGCTCCTTTTCCAGGCAATGAGTCACTTGGACACTCTCTGTCCTGGTCTACAAATGGACATGGGTAGAAGATTGATGAACCTCATGAGACCATGGCTGGGTGAGTCATTCTACCCCAGCCCAGATGAGTAGAGAAGATTCAGAAAGTTCACCAGGTCCCATCAGGTCTGCTCTCTGGTAGTCTGGATGTGCAACGTGATACATTCAATCTTCCATCATCTCTGCAGACACAGACTGTGGCCACTGACAGCAATATCCTCTGCAGCGATGACCAAGTGCCCCCAAGGCCCCAAAAGATGAGCAGCTGCACAAGGGGACGTTGATGTTTGCTCAGCTCACTCCTGTATAATTTTACATCACCCTCAGGCTTCAGATGTTGCAAGGCTGCCACCTCCACGCTGGAGTAGGAGGCTAAACAGGCATCTTTGAATCCTGGCCCTATTTTCCAGGTGGGGACCTGATGTAGTGAGTGTTGGAGGAGAAACCACATCCGAGTCTGTGGTCAGAAGTGACCCCTCCTACATCCTGCTCTTATTTTTCAAGAAAATTACACCAAAATGTCACTGCAGTCAAACTCTTCTGGTCCTTTTCATCTCCCAGGAGCAGAAGCACCAGGAAGCAGGAGCACAAGGATGTTCTGAGCAAGACCTCAGCCAAAGCAGCAGCACCCACAGCCCGTTCTCTACCACAGCACAAGGGAAGGGGCAGTGCTCTACCCTTTTTGAGGTCACAAGAGAAAAAAAGGATCATGTCATAAATGCTACTCAGAGGCTCCCCAAACCAAACAAGGAGTTAGAAACACCCGTGGTTATGCTGAGGGCACATTCAGGTCTGCCTTCCTGACCCACATCTTGATCCAAAACACCCAGCAAAGTGTATTTCTAGCCCAACATGTTGCAAAACAGCTGCACCCACCTTCTCATTTGCCACCAAACAGCCTCATGCAGCTTTGGTTTTGGTATTTGGGCTGCACAAAGATTCACATCAGAGCACACTAGGGACATGGGAGCTGTGGCCATGGAGCTATCCACCTCCATCCTGCAGCCACCATCACATCCCTGCTACTGCTACTGCCCTCCCACAACTGGAAACTGAAACTGCAACCACGCTCCTTCCTCCCATCAAAGAGCTGGGTGCTGGTTCATGCTCCGGTTACATCTGCCCACACACAACAACCCACCACGAGGACAGCTGAGCTCACCAGGGCCCTGGCTCCCCATGTAAGCTGCTGATACCCTTGTGAGCCCTTGAAGTCAGGGAGAAAACCAGATTTCAAGGAAAAAAAATAATTATTCAGCTCAGCGTAGAGAGTTTGGACACATCTGATGCTTAACATCAAGTGAGCAGCTTGGTTTCATCCTTAACTCTCTTTCAAGGCCTCAGTAGGAATTTCAAAATAAGTGTCCTGAATTGTGTGCTCCAGCTAAAGGCAGCCTTTGAAAGCTGGAGATCACCTGGGGGACAGACATGTCCTAGGCTGCCTTTTACACACACTCATTTCAAATACAACTTGGCATCACTGATAAGAGACCCTTCTTCCTGCATTAGAGATTTTATAGCTCAGCTGAGTTATAAACATGGGGTGATCTGCTGCAGGGGGACCAACTGCTCTGACAGACAGAGCAAGAGTTCAGGGGACACACTCACACAGCACCACTTGTCCATCACACCCAAACCTTTTCTGTGCTCACCACACTACATGTTTTAGCCTGGATGGCAGTTTTCCCTTCTAAAGTGATTAGATAAATGATTTTTCATGTGTTTTTCCACTGTTAACATGAAAGAGAAGTAAGTTCTACTGCAGAAAAGATAAGTACTTCACTGAGACTACTCAGCTGCACATTAATGCTCTAGGTGATTTCCTAACCCAGCTGGAGAGCTGCATAGCTGCTCAGTGACACAGCTCTGTCCACACAGTAGCATTCAGGCCAGGGGTTAAGAAACCACACGTTCAAACTCAATGTGGCTTACTGGCATGGACTGGGGGTGGCTGTTCTTATGACTACATAAGCCACGATAAGAGACCATCTTTCCATGAGGGTTCACATGGTGTGTGGTTTCACCATACCTGTTCTGCAGAGCAGTGCCTCAAAGACCACATCAGCAAACAAACTCCCAACAGACATGACCTGAAGATCTCTCCAAAAGGTCCCAAAGTACTTCCAAGTGCCTGACAGCCACTTGTCCACAGTAAGCCTTTGTAGTGTGTATAAATATCTGTACTAAGCACTTAAACCCTGTGAAATAAAGAAGAGTCAGCAGAATGTCAAGAGAAAAAAACTCTTGGTCTAAACAAGACTGAAGTTCTTACCATAACAGTGATACACTGGCAGAAGCTCCCTGTGCCTAGATGGAAGAAGGTTTATTTGTTCCAGCATATGAGTCTTCTCTCTTTTAGGTCTAAAAAACTACTCCATAGGCTTAATTGCAGGCTAACTGCCATATTCTATTTATCTTCTAGAATGACAGGAGATAGAACAGGGAAATAATCTGCCAGACGACACAGACAAGCCTGGGAGGTTCCTGAATGCCCACGAGTCACAGGCTCCTTTCTCTAAAACAGAGATTATTCTTCAGATCAGATTAGCAGTAAGCAAGTTCTGCACGCAGCAGAAAAAGCAGCTTAGCACTCAGGCAGTTATGCATCCACACTCATCACATCCTCCGTCAAGGACAGGCTGAAGGAAGGTGGAAGACAACTCAAGAGAACACAATAGAGTTTTTCCCAGATAAAACAAGTGAAATTAGCTTTAAAAGTTCACAGTTAACACAGTTACCAGTGGTATTTCCCAGCCAACTACACTATTTCAGAAGTTGGATGTGCAGATTTTTGGCCAGAATCCTGATGTGAACTTTATCTGTCAGCATACCACGTTGACAGAAAGTCTAAGTAGATTCTTCTTCCTCCCCCTGAAATCCAAAGCGTTCCAACCAAAGACTGTGGCTTTGGCTCATCAGTTGTTCTTCCCATCTGGGAGGCTGTCATATGTTGAATGCTTTGTTTTAAAGCAAAAGCTTCTTATTTCTTAAGTTTATGTTGTGCTGAGAGATTTTACTAAGAAAACTAGAGGTCAACAATGAACTATTCTGAACAGCCAGCCAACAACCACAACATTCATGGCAAGTGAAAGAGAGCTGTGAGAGATTAGAGACAAACTATTGAGCTACACCATGCTAGGTCATCAAAGCTTTTAGGGGAAAACAACCCTTGTAATTTCTATAGCTACCTGCTGTAACTGTTCACACAAAGCTTATTTACAAGACTTGGATGCTGCTCTCACTTCATTATCTAATGACTGGAATTCAACAATTCTCTCCCTGGACAATCCAAGATCTCTCTCTTCAACCAGTTGTGAACATTTAACAGAAAAAATAAAGCTTTTAATTAATACATGTGCTTATATGCTGCATCTAAATAACAAAACAAAGCAATAACCATTACATTCATAAATTCAGCACATGTAAGTTTCATAAGTACACACTGTTGATTCACATTTATTACCAATAGAATAAACTGATATAATTCTTATACTTAAGATGTAAAACTCTTCCAATTCCACAAGTCACTCCTAGGAGGACAGCAGCACATTCCCTCTAGTCCTGCTGACAGCTGCTGCAAGGATTACCTCATTCTCACTCATTGACTCTTTGCACAACACAGGGCAATGGAGAAGGACAAAGGAAACCCAGGTTTGTCACATGACAGTTGTGGCAGCAAGTGGATAATTTCAGTGTAATTAAAGTTTCTTTCACTTTCTCAATCCAGTTTCCTATGTTAGTATATTAACAACAGTCCAAGCTTTAGGCTTTACAACAAGAAGTTATTGCTATTGCCTGTTTTTAGCTTTAAGTTCACCTGCAGTCATCCATATTCCCATGATGTCCTACCCATACCAGAAATGGCCAGTGAGAGATCCAAAGTCAACCCACCCTGCGCAGGAGCATCTCAATACAACAGTCTGCTACTGACAGCAAGTTTCTACAATACTGAAACATTTGCCTGTTTCTCCATAACTTCACTTTTTTTAGTAATTAACCATTACTTCTTCTGAATGATAACTCAGAAATGGGATTTCCCTTCTATTGTGGACACTGTCCTTCATCTGTTGGCTTGTTACCATTACACATAGAACAAAGCAAAGCACAAAAGCAAAGGAGAATCTGAATCTTGGTGTTCAAAGGACACAAAGCCCACTCAAGGGCAAGACAAAACCCTGCTCCAGTTTATAAAAGTAGATTTAAGATTTGCTTGCAAGCCAACCTACCAACTTCAACAGGAGTTGGGATCTGCCAGATCAGGTGCTCCTGGGGTAAAAATGCATCATTTCATCAGCAGAGATGAAATTAGATTTTTTTTTAGAAATCTTTTAGAATTAAGAATTGTCAAGATTGTTTAAAGCCTTGGAAGTCTTCAGATTTTTTTCCCTAACTGCTTATGTAAAAAACAGATATTACCCTACAAGAGAAGCATTAACATCACAGGGAAAGGCTTCTCCTAAGTGCAATAATATAGAGATCACTGTTGCCATTGACCAAAGTGTGCAGCCCACCTCCTCCCAGGATCCGTTATAGTTTCAATACACAAATTAAACCTTTCCAGCTTCAGTAGAAGGTGCAACAGTTCTGTGTCACATGCCAGAGCCTTAAAGAAAACACTGACCAAAATCATGATGTATTTCTGAAGAAAAAGAGCAACAAAGCAACAGGCCCTCAGTAAAGGAAAAAAGTAAAGGCTCACTGCTCCCTAAAACCAAGCCCTGATACACCTATTTACACCTATTAAGGACACAATAGAGAATCACTTTATGGAAAGAACATTTATTTTTGTTTCAAAACTTGTGATCCATAGAAATACAATAAAATCAACATGTACACAAAACTTAAAAAAAACCAACCCCTTTGGTTCAAAGAAATATTTAACATCTAAATCTTCTGAGGTACAAAAGGCACAAGACCAGGCACCCAAACACACCGAATCTCCCACAGCACTGTTTGCACCACTACTACAGAGAAAGTTGGGAGGGCAGAAGGCAGGTCAAAGGAGGATGGCAGGGGCAGGAGGAACATGGAAAGAACAGCAACCAAAACACAAGTATGTGTACAATGCCATTTACTTTCTTTCTTTCACAGGTGTTACATATTTTGTTGTCCTTTTTTTTGGGGTAAAGTGCCAGGACTCTTGGAGAAAAAAAAAAAAAGATGGATCATTTCTTAGAAATGAACTGGAAGAACAAACAGTAGAAAAGGAGACAGAATCAAAGGCCAGCAGCAGGTTGGGTTTCAGTCAACTTCTGTTCTCCCACAAGGTCTTAAGAATTCATTTCCTCTTTCGTGAAACCATTTGTTCGAAACTGTGGAACAAGGATGCGAAATTAATTACCACCATGTACCCAGTGCGTGTATCACCACAACCCAGATGTTACTCCAAGTAAAATCTCATCTCTCAGTCTGAGTATCCCTGCCTATACCTCTCTACCCATCCAATGGGAAAGACACAGGAAGATTCAAAGGGTTGGGAAAGGATCTTTCCTGTTGTACAATTCTGGGGCCAACAGTAACAGAGCAACATATTCTGGGTCTGGTATCACTTATGCTCTGGCACTCCAGGGGAATACCTTGGAGTCCAGGACAGATGGGTATGAGAATGGGTGACAAGAAGCTTGAGAAGCTTTCAGCAGTTAGCAAAAATTCCCAGCATCTAGACATTCCCAATTACCTTACAAGGAGCCCTCCTCCTTTTGTACTTAAAACTATATTCCTTTGTAGGAACAGACCTGATTTTATCTCATCAGGTGATAATTCAAGTCACCCTGATGCTGATCCACTACACAAAACCAGTGTCATTCTTACACACTTTGTGCTGTTGTTGACACAAAAACTCACTAGAAAAGCTCCAGCTGAACAATGTGGCTGCTTAATATGACATGATACTGATGGTACAAGTTTTCATTACAGCCAAATGACTCCAGCAGCTAAAATAGCAACAGCCAAGTTATTAAATATTGTTGTAAAGGTTCAGTTTATCACCAGCTTTGCGTATACATGACTTCCTTCAGGATTTGTTCCTAAAGGAGTATTACTTACCCCATTTACACCCTACTAGCACTGGACAAGCCGCATGCCTCGTTCTATAATCACCCTCGCCACTTCTGAAAAGATTGTACCAAAATACTGCTGTGCCCTGAAAAGTGAAATCAGATCTGGATTAGTCAGAACCTAGTCAATATAATTAATTATTCAGGTTACAGTAAGTGGGGGGGGTAAAAATGCCTATGAACTCAGCTGCAGGTTCTTCTGAAGCACTTTAACAGAGGCCACCACTGACAGCACATGAAAACCACCCCTTAGTCTCACTCCCATTAATTCAGTCACACTCAGAGTAGAGAGGAGTTCTACCTGGACACAAGGTTTTTTTGTTAAAAACAGCTCCACACTGAAACTGTTCCCATTATACACTGTAAAGCACAGGAAGCTGCCCTGCAGCCTACCAGATCAGCTACAGCTGCCTTGATATACAGCAGCCTGTCAATCAAATTGCTGTGAAAAGTACTTTGTCACATTAATTGACTTTTAAACAGATGCAGGACTGTATTGAGGATGAGACAGTAACAGGAGAGAGGAGAAATGAAACAGAACACAAACAGGCTTTACCTTCTTGGGCCATATTGCTGCCCCAAAATCTGGGAAAACTGTAGCTCCTCCAGCTTCTACATCACTCATCTGAGAAAACAAAGTCCACAAACTCTGTCCATTGACAACACTTTTTGTACATGCAGCCCCACAAGCTAAAGTGCCCCAAGCCCTAAGATTAGAGAGGGATTTCTACTTGCACCTCTGTGGAAGGCACTGATGAGGAAAGGATGCATTTCAACCAGCACAAACTGGAAAATAAACAGTATCTGCTACTGAAGGCTTTTATTTCAGCTGAAGGCTTCTGTTCAGCAGTTATCTAGATTATATATCATCAACTGCACCAACAATTAGCCACAAGGAGTTGTGTACCTTGCAGTGTTAATAAGCTAGCACTCTAGAACAAGGGAGAGGACTTCAGAGTAAGTTGGTTTCAAGAATTTCATTCCAGTTTATGATCCAATTAGGAAAACGAGTGTCTTGTTAAACCACAGGTTTCTTCATAAATTGAAACCATGTCTTTGGAACTGATTCTCATAATTTAATTTATGCATCTTGGTCAACCACTTCAAAAACTACACAAGCTATTAGAAAACCTCACTTCCTGCACTGTTTCTATGCTGTTCATCAGTGATGTTCCGTCACTGCAAGTGCTTTATCTCAAGTTTTATTTAATATATACAGCTATATGACTGAAGAAAAGCATGTTTCTTTACACTTTGCCCTTTTACACTGGAATGATTTTAACCCTATTGAATTCAACAGTAATGATGGATTCACTAGAAATTGTAGACTTGATCCAAAACCCAAAGTTCCTAGAAACACTCATTAAAAACAAAGTCTTTCCACTGATTTTTTTGAGTGAGTTTTTGATTAGCTTCTAATTAAAAAACCAAATGAATCAGATCCAGGTCTCAGCAAATTTAAACAGCAGAATTACTATTAATACATTCCCCCAGTCCCCACATTCTCTATTGTAACTTGGATTTCTGTTTAAAGTAGATGTTATTACCACTCTGGTGTCCTCCTGCTTGGTACCTACAATAAAAGGGCATAAGATGCCAGAGGTGCACAGGTTTTTGTCCCTTCCAACTGGAAAGCGTGAGCATGCAACTTTGCAAGTTAATAACCTAGGTCTTAGCAACACAACCACTCTTTTTAGTAAGGGTGTTGGAACACTTATGGTATGTTCCACATGGGACAAACAAAAGTGGCCTTTGACCATGTACAACTGGCAGAGAAGGTGTCTATCATTCAGTCTAAATCAAGGCTTGTCCAAAAGTCTGAGAAGCAAACAAAATACAGACAATTTAAAATTAAAGCCTCTTAGCAGCAGGTTATTTCACAGCTACTTATCTTATTCTGATTCTTGTTTCAGAGATTGGGGGATTGGACTAGACGATCTATGGAGGTCCCTTCCAATCCCTAACATTCTGTGATTATTTCCTCCTCCACTGTATCAAGTTGAAAGTACTTCTGGTTGTGTTTGGAGCTGCATTTCACACTCAAAATACCAGCTCAGTTATCAACATTTTGTCACAGAATTTTAAATTTGAAGTTGTACCACTTACAAGTCAGACACAGTAGATTAGGTGATCCTAACTACTGAAATAGTAAGTATAGGTTGGTAGATTAAAATATTGTCAGAAGACTCCTGGGAAAACATTAGGCCACTCTAACTTGTGGCAGTTGTGATTCCAGTGTACATGGTCTGGAGGCTGTATAACACATGCAACTAATGAATCTTTCCAATTCTGCATTTGTAACCCAGTTGCACTGAGTTTATGAGCTATGTCTCCTCCATTTGCTGAAGTGACAGCTCTGCCAGAGGAACTCCAGCTTTGACAAACAGCTACAATGGAGGCTGACAGACCACAACATCAAGTGCTGTCAAATAGTGGTGGAAGAACATGACCAGCTCGCAGTAAATGTCTGGAAGTCAAGTTCTCAAACAGCATACCATGTGAGGAGCACCTCAAGCACTTGCCTTTGAGAAATAAGCCAAATTCTCCTCTCCCACTAACAGGAACCCAATGAACTCAAAGATTTAATAGTAGAGTGGCCAAAAGGGAAAGCTGGGCCCTATATTCCAATTTTCTGTTGTGCAGTTAAATACCACCAGAATTCTGACAACTGAGACAGGACAGCACCTGATGCTGCAAGGATAATGAAATCCCTGCTTCCAGATGCCAGGGAATCTCTACAAATAACCAACCACACAAGCTGTAAACAAGATGCTGCTAAAGTTACACTCAACACAGAAAGGATCATCATACTTACATAGTTTAAAAAAGTGGCCACACGATTTCCAGTCCCTAACCGCTTGAAAGCATCTGGCTCATCTTTCTATAAAATTAAATGAGAATAAACTGCAAACTTCAAGCTCACAGACAGCAGACAAACAAGGTACTTACATAGTTAAGAAACGTCGCTAGCCTATTTCCTTCCGATTTGAGTGTGCTGTCAAAGGGTCGCTGTAACAGACAACAACTTTAACCCACGTTCCAAACAGGCTCACACTAGTGTTACACATGGGGAGCTCTGCACACAGATCCTCAAGCCCCATTTCAAAGAGTTGGAATAGAAAAGGGGATGATTGATACAGGGCAACATTAAAGCCATCACAAGTTGCAGCCAGGGTGCATAACTGCATGCACGTAGCACTTGGATGCTGTAAGGAGAAGCAGCACTGAAGCAATTCTTAGGGCAGAGCAGAGGAGATGTTTTCAGGGCCTGTGGCACAGATGTTATCCAAGTAGAGTTAACAGGCCATTACCATCCTGCACACTGATCCAAAGTCAACAGCTGAGGTGAATACTAAAGTCATCTTCAGTGGGCTTTAGATAACACACTAGCTTCTCGTAAATGTAAAAGTGACTCAAAGAAATACTGTCATGAGAAGGGAAACTGCATTATTTTTATTTTGACAGCAGGCAAAATTGCACAATTGCAATAATCAACTTCTTTCAGGTGGCTGCCAGTCTAGGACTAAGGACCACATCAAAAAGATCAAATCATCTTTACTCTGCAGGAAACATTTGGAGTTTCATTTGTTGAAGTATGAGATCACATGGCTGCCAGTTTAGAAGCAGAAAGAACATCTACAATACCAATGTGTGTCTCCACCCTTAATAAAAATGCAATTAAAAGTTTACATTGCTAACAGGAAGTAATTTCAGCTAGGAGAAATTAAGGTGCACTCTTCTACCCAAAACCAATAGTTTTTAACATTTAAGAATAAAATAAACAGTATTAGAAAAGACAAACAGCAAGGAAAACCACAGCCAGCATCTCTACGATGTTGGAGTTCAATCTACTCAAAGTATATTTCAAGAAATAAAAGGTCTTTCCTGAAATGGATTCATAAAAAAACCCTCAAGACTCTTGCATCTGCATAAGCAAATTCAATCCAAAAGAGCCAACACAAGAGCACTGAGATATAGAAGATTCCCTTGTCCAGTCACTCACTTCTGGACTTTAATAGCAAAAGACTTCTCTAACTTTTGAGCAATCAATAAAATACCAAAGTTGTAATATGCAGCTATTAAAGTGTCTCTATTTGAGAACTGCAAGGGAACAAAAAGCTGCCAGGCTCATCAGGAGACAGGGCAGCACCTCTGTACTTCAACACTGAGATCTGTGACACACAGAGAGCCTGGAGGACCAGCCCTAGACTATGGCAGATCCTGCGACTGCCTTGCCTTCACTGGTGATTGCAGCCAAGGTTATGTTCCAAGTGGAGCTCTGCTCCAGCTGCAGAATCCAAAAGTAATGTCCACACTGGCCAATTTGATGGCTGAGGTCCTCGAGTTCAAAGGCTTTGAAGAGGATTTAAGAGCATTTGCTCAACTTGGGAAACCAAGCAGTCAAAGTTAACAGGAAAATTCTCTCGACGGGCCAAAGCTAACGAATAGGAGCTTCCAGTGTTGGAGTTCAGGATTTATTTATTATTATTATTTTTTTTTTAAACAGTGGTAAGTTGGGTGGCTTCAATTCTGCACTCAATTATTGGGTTATGCTCTGGCTGCAGCAATCCCCTCTTCCAGGTAAAACCACTGGGGCAGCCTGAATTAAGCCAGATTCCATTGAAATGCCATGGTTCTACTGGAAACCCAAGGCATCAGATGGATTTTATATGTGAAATTACCAGACACTATCACTCTTCAATATGACTGAGCTGGTTTAAGGTAACAATTAAGAACCTGTTCCTCTTTTCTCCCCACCTGCAGCAAACTAGAGCTGTTCTCTGCCAGGTAGAGCCCTCTAGTGCCTACTACAGCTCCAGCACCCACCAGCTTCAAGTTCTCCTGAACACCAACCCAACAAACCCTCTTCAGACTCTAGAAGTTGCAGCCACACTAAGGGTTTTTGTCATGAAGAAAAATCTTCATGACCCATGAAGATTTCCATAATGGCTACTTTTTATTTTCTGGAGGGAGGCAAAGGGATGGATGTCTCCTGCTCAGCCAGCTTCTGCAAAGTACTTTAAAATATCCACCAAAGGAGGACTCAGACAACTTTGCTGAACTCAGAAGCCTAATGGAACAACACAGACTCACAATCCAAGGCTCGTAGACCTCAATTTCTCAATAAAGGAATGGAAAGAGACTATTCAAGTGCTGCACGACTACTTTTTAGTGTCTCTGTACTGTGCAAGGAACCAAGGTGACAAAGATAAGCAGGCAGTCAGATTTGTTCATTGCTCTCTTGAGCTTTCAGCATCACAGGAGGCAGTGCAAAGGTTTGCCAAAGGTCATAACCCATCCCATGCAACAGGGCTATGCATTAAGTGTTTTCCCAGAAAATAGTTTCAACAGTTTTCTCTCAAAACAAACTGTTCCCCTCCCCACCCCCCATCCTCACTTTACTAAGAAATAATTGAAAGTGCAATCTTACCCTAGAAAAATCGAAGTGTGGCTCATACTGCCCTCCCATTCCATAGTTGGCAACCTGGAGCATGGAAGAAGAAAGCACAAACACCCGCTGAACTGCAAGTGATTGCTGCAGAAGATACCATTTGCTCTCAGACATCCAAAACACGCTTTGAGAAACAGAACTTTGTGGCAAGATTGTTATCTAGAGCACTCTTAACTTCTCTTTAGATTGCC